CCTCCACCCCTGCCACGATCCCCTCCCCCTGCGACCCCTTTTCCCTTTCTCCCGCTACCCCGCTTTCCACTCCTCGCGCCACCCCCTTCCCCCTCCTCCTTCCACTCCCTTTCCCCTCCAGATCTGCTACAGAGTTAGGTTATGTCTAGGGATGCAGAGCAGCGCCCGATCCGCCCCGCTTCCATGTCAAAAAGATTCAAGTTAGTTGTAATTCCTCCGTACAGGTTTAGCGTAGTTTGAACTAACCTCATGCTTTTGCGGGCTTATGCCAGACTTGCATCCCTAGTTATGTCTATGAAGTTGTGATTTAATTAGCAATCAAATACAAAGTTAGGTTGTGTCTATGATGTTGTCACACCATACGTAATAAGCGTTATAATGTTATGAAGGGGGTCGGTTGCCATAAAATGCATTACGCCATAAAACATTGGTGTTTATGTATTTGCAGCGAATCCGCAACGGATACCGTATCCGATACGGATACTGCTCCAATATGTCCTGGATATGTATCCCCTGAGTATCAGGGAATAGGAGCTAGTTTGGTTTGTGCCCACAAGTTGATGCCTGGTAAAAAATGTTGCCTGGTGTGGACACAAGAAGCTAGCAATTGCTGCCTGGCCAGGCTGGCCTGAAGGAAATGTGTTTGGATGAAGCCTGGCCTGGTGAATAGTTAAATGGATTTGAAAAGGAATCTTGGACTGTACTGCTGACCTACTATAGCTGGAGGAGTGCCGTCGTTTTGTGATTAGTAATTCCCAGGCAGCAATTAGCATCCAGGCCGGCTGCCCAGGCGCTCGAAACTGGACGCCTGGGGTCGCCTCGGTCTGCCTGGACCAGGCTAACAAAAGTGCTCAAGTATCCAGGCCAGGCTGGCTTCCTCAGTCCCAGGACAGCAAGCAAACAGCTTCTCTGAAAATCCTGGCAGGTTCCAGGCCAGGCATGGCACGACGAGGACATGAACCAAACTAACCCTAGATGATTTAAAACAATGCTGATACTTCATGGATACTGGATACTCGGCCGGTGTGTTTCGGATATGGTCCAGCCCAGTTAAGGGGTAAGTAGCGATACAACCCTAGTCCCCCGACGCCTCATATTTTCCGTCCCTGCTGCTTTCCTCCCGAGCTCCACAGCAAGCGGCGTCTGCTCGCCCAGCGGCGGCAGACTGGCGGCGAGCAGACAACGAGCTGCTCCTCTTCTCCTTTCTCTTCTAGTCTTCTTATGATCTCATCTCCTCTGATACTCTCCTCCAGATGGCTCCTCTTGCTGAACCTACCAACCTAAGGGCACCATTGTGGAGCCATGTTACAGTGTTAGTACTCTTCTGATCCTCTCCTATGGACTTCGACCTACCAGCTCAGTATTTTGGTGAATTAAAAAGAAAATTAAAACTTTTCCAAAATGGCGAATTCACGTATCTGCATCGGTCCGATGCTGATACACGTATCAGTGTCTGTGCATTCTAGGTGCCCATGCTGTATGAATTTCTGGAGTAACCAACTATGATGGATTTAACAATTATCACATAATAGAACATAATTGGTAGGTTTTAATTTAGCTGATTCAGTTTGTTAATTTTTGGCGCCTTCAATTAAACTGGTTTTCGTATTGTTTAATTAGTGATTGATGGAATCTTTAACTTCTGTGACGATTCATATTGTTACTCAAAGTTCTGTCTCCTGTGCTACCCACTAGATCATATAATCTACTGTTTGACTTGGCATTTAAGCCCATTTCAATCTTCAGTGTAGCTGTTGTAAAGAGTGCTGTCAAAACTTTAACATAAACTGTCTTCCTTCCAATCTGAATTGCAGGTTTAGCGTGGGCTTTTGCCTTAATGGATCTAATTGCAAGTGCATGCATGTTAAGCTACCTGGGTCGCCTCCTGTTCAAGAAGTCCTCCAGAAGTTTCAACAGACGAATGCCTATAACTATGGTTCATCAAGCACAACTTATCAGCCTAGAGACAATAACTGTAAGCAGAAGGCGAAACCTCAAGTCCAGCATGAGTCGGTGCTGAAGAACCAAAATTTGGCTGTAAATGCTACTCTTGTAGCGCAACAACCTGCTGCTCAGCATGTGCAGACAGCAAATCCACCACCACACCTACAGCAGCAGCAAAATGCTCAGGTTCAAGGTGTCCATAATGGGTCATCTATCCAAAAGCTACCGCAACTGCAAGCCCACTTCCACAAGGGCAATCAAGGTGGGAGCTTCTAGAAAGTTTTGTGAAGCTTTCAACAGATATTATATGAAAACTATAAACATAGCTGTATTACCTGTACCTGTCTTCAGGGATAATGAGTTCCCTGACTTGTTGTTCCTTATGCTTCCCGTCTTCTTGATAGAATGATGGGCTTACTTTTCAAAACTTGTTATGCAGTGTTCTTAACTGTCCTTTAGCAAGAGTCGTAATTCGCTATTGTATTATGCTAGAAAAAACTAATTTTCTCTGAATAATTAGACAAATTAATCTATGGCTAAGCAATCAAGATGATTCCTATTAAACTAACATTATTGATTAGATGTACGTGTTCCTTGCATATTGATTAGATGTACGTGTTCCTTGCATAAAATGGTTTGGCGAGGAGAACATGAAATTGAGTCACTTGGCTGTTTACCTCTTTATGTAATTTGGAACTATGCCAATGGAATCTTGTGAGCACATTAAAGCAATATATGAGTTTTGGAATTATGCTCATAGCATTGTTTGAGCACATTAATACACAAATTTATTGCCTAGATACTTGTGACATTTGTATCTTCTAGGGACCACATAGGAAGTGATTTCCATGTTATTTTATGGCATAATCTGAAGCCAAAAGTGTTGTTGTAGTCTTTGTCCTTAGTAATAATCTAGAGGACAGAGGGCTGAGATGATCTGCCTTGTTGACTTGTCAAGACAATTTTAATGATCTCTCTTGCATTCCAAAATTTCATTATTTCTGTTCCATGCACATGCTTCCTTTTACAGAATAAAAAAAATCAATGTTGAAGTGGTTCTAAGTTCTAACAGATTTTATGTTAACATGTTAAAAAACTAGGTACTTGGTTATTAAATGTTGCAACCAGGAGAATCTGGATTTTGGTTCAGTGGGGTGTTTGTGCCCCTCAAAAAGGATTAATGAGGTGAACTTGACGAAGCATGTCCATGGAGAGTGTCATTTCAATATTCCCCATCTCTAGAACTCATCATTTCCAGGTAAATCATACATTCCTCTTAGGCTCTCAGCTAGCAATAGCTAATACAATTACACATACACCTCTGTTACACAATATATGCTATAATTTACTTTTAGGGGAAACTATTTATGTGTCTTCTATATATGGTTGTAGATTAATTGTAGTATTTATTGCTGTTGAGAATAGAGCACGAAATTAACTTAGTCTAGTTATTAAGGGAGTTAATTAATGGTACAGGTGGATCGGTAATCATGAGTTTTTTTTGACGTAATCATGGCTTCATCTCATTTATACCTTTTGGTATTTTTCTTTGTCATTTAGCTCTAAGCACACGGAACACGGATTTAATGGCCTAGCTTCCAAACTCAAACGTCAGTACTAAAAAAAAGGACATTAAGTGCAAGAAAATATTGCCTCCAAAACAAGTGACAAGTATTTATATACAGACAAGACAAACTTCTAACCTACATGTATTTTGGACGAAGGTGGCAATCTAGTATAATATCATTTGTTTTGGAACAGAGTAGTTGAAAAGTAAAATAGTGCTATTCTGTTGGATACATCAAATTATAGCTGAACACACTTTCTTCAGTGTCTGTGCAAAACTTCTAGAACTAGTGGCGGAATTTAGAAATATGCTCACAGAAGCCCATTGTGGTCAGAACTTCTCTCCAGTGGCTTATCCATACTTTCTTTATGGTTTATCCATACTTATTTTAATTTGTCATCATTCCACATTATATCTTTCCAGTGGTGGATAGTACTACTCTTTCTCACTGATGGAATATAGCATCTCATAGCAGATTAGATGACATAAGCTTGTGTATTCACACCATACTGCACTGCATGCTAATATTTATTGATTCTGTTAACTGTGAAAGAACTACACCGAGTTTCTCCTCGCATAATACTTCGTATTTAACAACAGATCTTATGCTATAGACATTTCCACTAATTTATGCTTAAAGGGGAAATATTTATGTCTTCTAAGGGGACTAAAGGCTTTGTTGTTGTTGTTGATAGTAGAGCATGTAAATAGCTTCTTAGTTTAGTTATTTATAAGGAAGTTGGTTGATGGTAGAGATGCTCTGGTAATCATGAGTCATTTTTTCTCTTTTTTAATTTTTAATGGTATCATGACTAAATGAACCATTCATTAACATGTTTTTTATCTTCTATTGTACCTCCAGTTTGGTACATTTTTGTCATTTAGCTCCAAGCTATGGGACAAGAAGCATTTAATGACTTAGTTTTTAAAAAGAGATTGACTCAATTGTATGCCCAACTCACATCAGCACCCAAAGAATGTTAATAGGAGCATTTAGTAGAAAATATTGCCGCCAAAACTAGAGTAACAAACAAGTATGTAACACAACATATATTCTGCTTTGATGGTTGTAATTTGGTAATAATATAATTTGTTTTGTAATACAGTAGTCTAAAAGTAAAATTATGCTATTCAGTTGGATACTAAATTATTGTTAAATTCACCTTTTTCAAGGGCTCTTGAAAGGTTACTTCTAAGTTTGGTGGCTACACTCGTGGTTGGATTTGGAAATTTACTTACAGAAGTTCATTATGGTTAGAATTTCTCTCCATTGGCTCAAGGTACAACAAATTATGGAAATCCGCCCGCCCGAGTACTAGGAACTGGCTGCCGCGGCCCCACATCGAAGCATGCCTTCCCCGCCACGTGTCTCGCTTGTCAGCCGCCGACCCACCCTAGCCGCCACCGTCCCAGAGCGAAGCATCCGCGCCCCGCCACCTGTCGTCCTCACTAGCTGCTGGCCTCCATTGCGGTCTTTGCGATGATCCTGATGTTGTTGTCAGGTGTTGGCTGCTAGTGCCCCTGCTTGCCGATTTTCAGCGCCTTTGTCGCTGCTTGGTGGGTCGGTCCTTTCTCTGTTCCATGCTCATCGACATCATTTGATTTTGCTTGGTTCCCTTTGAGCATTGTAAAAAGAAGGCAATTTCTTTGTCACCGGGCTTCGTTTCCATCCCTTGCTACCCGTAGATTTTTGACGATGTTGATTGCACTGACTTCATTTCCCACATTGGCATTCACTTGCGTGGTCTGCGTCTCTGGGCATACTCTCTGGCGAGATTTCTTATCTGTTGTGCCCTGTTGCCACTGTGGAATCTTCACCACTCCCTATGACTGTTGTTGATAAGGCTGTCGCTCATGCTGCTAAGGTTGCTGATGATGTCACATGATGCCTAAGATCAAAACGTAAACTATCAAGGGCTTGACTAGGCAGCGGTGCTGCACGTAGGTCCTACCATGCGGTGGCTACTACACGCAGCAACCACGCCCCGTAAATGCGAGCACATGGCGAAAGACAGAAGAGAGCAATAGCCGGTAGGGCCGTAGGCTGGTGCGCACATGCATCCCGATTCCGATCCCAAACACTAATGGGTCACGACTACCCCACCTCTCTTGCTGCTTTCATCCCTATCATGTGATTCTTCTCCCAAAAAAGCACAAGTCGTGAAATCCACACCAGATATAGGCGTTGTACAATTGTACAACTGCCTCCAGAAAACTCCAAGGAGAGACAAAAAAAGGACACAGAGAAGTCTTTGGTCGAGTAAAACAAGATCTAATATTCAGGCAATGCATGATTCAGCAGTGGATGTATTAAGTCTAGTTGCTAGTTTGGTTTCATGCCTGGGAGGTCGACCATGGAAGCCATTTTCTTGGTACGACAACTTATGGAGAGATACAAGGAGCAAAAGAAGGACTTGCATATGGTGTTCATTGACTTGGAGAAGGCCTATGATAAGATACCGCGGAATGTCATGTGGTGGGCCTTGGAGAAACACAAAGTCCCAGCAAAGTACATTACCCTCACCAAGGACATGTACGATAATGTTGTGACAAGTGTTCGAACAAGTGATGTCGACACTGATGACTTCCGGATGAAGATAGGACTGCATCAGGGGTCAGCTTTGAGCCCTTATCTTTTTGCCTTGGTGATGGATGAGGTCACAAGGGATATACAAGGAGATATCCAATGGTGTATGCTCTTTGCGGATGATGTGGTGCTAGTTGATGATAGTCGGATGGGGGTAAATAGGAAGTTAGAGTTATGGAGACAAACCTTGGAATCGAAAGGGTTTTGGCTTAGTAGAACTAAAACTGAGTACATGATGTGCGGTTTCAGTACTACTAGGTGAGAGGAGGAGGTTAGCCTTGATGGGCAGGTGGTGCCTCAGAAGGACACCTTTTGATATTTGAGGTCAATGCTGCAGGAGGATGGGGGTATTGATGAAGATGTGAACCATCGAATCAAAGCCGGATGGATGAAGTGGCGCCAAGCTTCTGGCATTCTCTGTGACAAGAGTGCCACAAAAGCTAAAAGGCAAGTTCTACGGGACGTCGCTTCGACCCGCAATGTTGTATGGTGCTGAGTTTTGGCCAACTAAAAGGCGACATGTTCAACAATTAGGTGTGGCGGAGGTGCGTATGTTGAGATGGATGTGTGGCCACACGAGGAATGGATCGAGTCTGGAATGATGATATACGAGATAGAGTTGGAATTGAAGAGAAGCTTGTCCAACATCGTCTGAGATGGTTTGGGCATATTCAGCGCAGGCCTCCAGAAGCTTCAGTGCATAGCGGACGGCTAAAGCGGGCGGAGAATGTCAAGAGAGGTCGGGGTAGACCGAATTTGACATGGGAGGAGTCTGTTAAGAGAGACCTGAAGGATTGGAGTATCACCAAAGAACTAGCTATGGACGGGTGCGTGGAAGCTTGCTATTCATGTGCCAGAGCCATGAGTTGCTCGCGAGATCTTATGAGTTTCACCTCTAGCCTACCCCAACTTGTTTGGGACTAAAGGCTTTGTTGTTGTTGCTGTTGCCAGATTAGTAGTATTAATTTGTCACATTAATTGTGCCAAAAATTACGGATGCGATCTGCTGTACATGCCTATTTCCCTTGGTTACCATAATAGCTTCATATGTTTCCAAATTAATTGCCTCAAGTTGCCAAAGATGGATTTGCTATTTTCACCAACACCTAATTTACAGATTAGTTATCTCTAATTGCTAGATTCGCTGTATTGGTTTCCGAATTAATTGTCTCAAGTTGTCGAAGATGGATTTGATGTACTCAGCTGCACCTAGTTTCCAGATTAGTTATCTCTAATTGGCAGATTGGTTGTACTAATATCCAAATTAATTGTATCAAGTTACCAAAAATGAATTTTGTTGTACACGTAATTTCCAGATTAGTTGTCTCTACTTTCCAGATTTGGTGTATCAGTTGCCATACTGGTTGCCGACCTTGCCATTCTCGTGCCTGTGCCCCCCCCTTCGAAAATCCCTAGCACTCGTATACATGTGACTGACTGAGAGATCCCGTGGCACCTCCTAGAGTCCTAGGCCCCATTCTATCCCCTCGTCGTCTAGCTCGCGGCGATTTAGATCACCCCATGAAGTCTGAAAAAAACACTGCAAAAAACAATGATGCAAAACAGAGGGAGAGGAGCGTGGATGGGGGTGCGCTCACTAGTGTTAGAGTTATATTATAAGTCATGTACCCCTTTGTATTTATCCCGTTGTATAAGGGGTTTCCTGCATATGTTTCACATTTGTACATGTATATATATCGGCCTATGGCCTCATGGAAATACAAGTTGCTTTCCTAACATGGTATTAGAGCTTTAGGGTTTTTTTTCGCACGCGCAACTCGTGCTCCTATCGATCCACGCCCTCGTCGATCTCCCTCCTGCTCCAGCGCGCTCGAACTTCTCCAGCCGCCAGGGGTGCCCGGTTCCTCCCATCGCTAGGCCCTCCAGCTCGCCAGGGGCGCCCGATCCCCAGGGCTCCCGATGCCTCTAGTCGCTAGGGGCGCTCGCCTCCTCCCGATTCCTCCAGTCGCCAGGGCTGCCTGATCCAGTTGCCAGAGCCCGATCCGGTCGCCAGAGTCCAAGGCGCACCTAGCCT